AAAAGATAGTAGTAGTAGCTGAATGAAAAACAGAGGATTGACCGATGTGATTATGAAATAAGGCGATAAAATGTACTCTAGAATCATACGTCCGTATTCACTAACATTACTATGAGGTCTCATAGTGCGCGTGGACGCTGCTTCACTTAAGCAAGCATCGTTGGTGAATACGGGCGTTAGAGTGGGCCCAGTTGTTGGGAGAAAAAATATTTAAATATGCAATCCAGCGACTTGGCCAGTGTCATCTGCAAAATGCATATCTACCAATTAAATAGGAATCATTTTCGACATAAGATTATCTATCACAATTATTAAACATTCAACCCAGTTTCAGAAACTTCTCCTCACACACGCTCGCCCAAAGCCCCTGGATTAGCACGCTCAATTTCAATCCTGTCATGAATGTCTCAAGCTGTTGATCATGTCATTAAATGGGCTATGAATGAGTTATCCAGCATTTGAGAGAGAGATAACATTTGAGGGAAGGGATGTGACATGACGGTAAATATTAGTTACAGTTTTGTTGATTGAATGACAGTAAATAAATAAATAAGTAAACATCCTTGGACATTTTACACTGCGCCTCTAGGTCCAAACTAAGCAAAGCTTGTACTATGGGTATTAGATAACTGATATAAACAAACTTAAATTGGTAGATATACCTAAGTACACTTTTAAACTAATATTTCAAAGAGGAACGATTTTTATGGTTTGTATTGAATAGGCTCCGAAACTACTGGAGCGAGTTGAAAAATTCATTCAAATTTTTATTCTGACGAACATAGGCATATTTACCTATAATAATCATATCCATGCGAAGCCGGGGCGGGCCGCTAGTTTAACAAAAACTTTGATAGTTTGTCTTATTTCTTAGAAAATAAAGTTATTTGATAACTATTATTTTGATAAAAATTCCTCAAATAGATAAAAGCAACGATCGTCTACTGCGAAACATTGTATTTTGATTTCATTATCTTTCTTCTTATCTTATAAATTATTAACGATAACTTTTATGACGCTTAATTATTTCTTGGTACTTATTTATCTTTTTAATTTCGGGAATTCGTTCAAGACCTTGGTCACCAAGAAACCAGTGAAGTGTTTTTCTCAGGCTGAACTGCACCACCTTATTTTAACCGTAACTTTAACATAACCGGTGTTTTTTGTATGGAGTTTGACAGAATTTTGACTTTTGTCAAAGTTAAGGTGCAACCCAGGCTTAGTAGGCTCTCTCTACCGTGAACTGCTTTGTACACCTTGGTCGGAAAACTAAATAAATAAATACGAAAACAAAAAATCTGAATGTTTAAATCCCTATTTTCGAGTTAAAATATGTATCTTAGGGCAGGTCTTTGGCTTTAAACGTTGAATTGACAAGATTTATATTCATGACGTTTTATTCTATTCAAAGAGGAAATCTTAGCACAGATCCTGACAATGCCGGGATTTTTAGGGCTTTCGCCTTTTGTTTTCGCAATTCAATAGCAAAATTGTGGAAAAATTGCTCCATAGAATAATTTTATTGCAATACTTACACTGTGCAGTAGAATACTTGTGGCAATTTGAACTATGCACTTGTAATTATAGAATTAGAATTTAATTTTAGAAAACTGAAAATGTTTGATGTTCAATTGTTTCTTAAAAATGACTTTTTTGATTTTGGAACAGATTTTTACTTCGTGACTTTGACAGCTGCTTGAATATTATTTCTTGTAGCTGTTTGCAAGCTATTAAGGTCTGCACTATAAATTATACTCAATCCCAAATGAGTCAATAATCATAAACATAACGAGAAATGATGGCCGTATTAACTGGCCATTATATCTAGTGCTTCAGTAATGAAATAATTCACACAACTATAGCGGAATGGATGAGGCGTCAATTTGGAGGTGATTGATGTTGTATTTAATAGATTAGACTGCCGGCTTTTTTGACAAAGAGTTTTGATCGAGTTAAGTTTCAAATACTAAGTTAAAAAACAAATTGAACGTTAAATATCTAGATATTAATTTCAATAAATAAATAATTACAACAAACTATTTTGCTTTCTCCTAACTTATAACTCGCTAGATGATTAACGTTTAAAGTTAGTCAATGGTGTAACTTAGCTTTAGTCTACCCTAAAGGGTTATTTTTTTCCCTTAATAGACAGTAGAATGATGGGTGGAACCTATAAGTAAGTAAGTACCTGATTGCCACCATAATTATTTTGAGACTAATTGGAACAAGGGACTTTCCGCGGTAATCGAATAAGAACATTAATGTTAACTACACAAAATCGAATCGTAGTTGACACACTTGATGTTAAATAGTGGTAGTAATACGTATTACAATCAAAATAATAGGTATAGATAATGCACTTGTAGCAAGCCAACTTTTGAGCTTGTTTTGTTAATATTTAGAGGCTGAAACAAAGTTTCGTGCAGTTGAATAAACTAAAACAAAATGTTTCTGTTTGTTTCACAACTGCTAATTAAACAACAGTTGAAAAACTCCATTATGTTCACTAAAATGTTTCCTGTGTAATTATATCGCTTCATTTTCAAACTGCGAGGAGTTATACTACCCTTAGGTACTTATCTCTTTTTACTGAAATAATATTGCTGTTTGATTTTTAATTCTCACTATGAATGGATAGGTACTGCAAATATAAAAAACTTCATTCGAATCTATTGATTGATAACACTGGACAATCCACTGTATACATATAACATTGGACCTGTCATAGAAACCAAAGAGGCATAAAGTCAAACGACATAGAGTTGATTGTCGATTCAATCGAACATTGCGAATGTCGGCGAATGGTCGGGATGACAACGCGCATAAGTGTAATCCTCGTCTCATCAGCTTACGTGCGATTGGACAAAGGACTGGGCCAAGCGTGTGTCAGCACGTGAAATATTGCGCAGGGTCGAACTTAGGGCTTTGGGGGTCAATTACTATTGAGGCGTAATTTATAACCATACTGCTGGATATTTGGGTTTTGAATGGCTGTGTCATTTGATTTTATAGCGTTTTATATTCCTTCCTAGTAGTATTAGTAATAATAATAATCATTGTTATGTGTCTTGTTTTTACTTTTTAACACCGTTTCTAACCAGAATCTACTAAAAATATCCTAAAATAAATATAATTTATAGCAACTTATATTTAACCCAAAATACAGATAAATAACAGATTGTGATACGAAAAGACGAACAACTAAACTTGCGACTAAAATTAACTTGATATAACACTGGAGTATGAGCAGCGCAGTGCCTGTTTGTTAGTCTCTAGTCACAATTTAGGCCTCGGTTAAGCCCTTAATCCAGCCCTGTCCCAGCGGCTAACAAAGCGAATCTCTGTCAAGTTTTAGAGCAGGTTTATTAGACCGTGGGGAGTTCGACCGAGTTCACCCTAACGAACATTGATATTTGACAAATACGCAACCGTTGGCTGAGTTTTCGCATTGTCAGCGAATTGGACGTTTAATGCGTGATTTATTGTAAGGCTAGTAGAATTGTGGGCCACTATTGGCTTTATTGTTGGCACGCGTCTATCATTGAATAATCGGTCGGCTGATTTTCGAATATCAATTCGAATTGATCGCTTAGTCGTTCGGGTTTGCTGAATATATTTTTACAGAGTATTTTTTTACATATAGTACTTATGTGTATTAGTACGTACTTATGTGTATTAATAAGTACTCATGTCTACATATCGTTAGAACAAGTGTATCAGTCATAGGTACCTACTCACTCCGTTGGTGAGATTTTCACGACAAGTTTTCTATCAAAAGGTACCTTATCTTATCTTATCTGTTAATGTAAAGTATACTTATTTTCAAAACATTTACGAAAGTATGTAACCTTATGAATGTTATCTAAAATACCCAGTAACATTTGAGGTATTCAAGCTGAAATCATCAATAACCCCCAAAGCCTACAGCATATGCATGCATGGATAGTTAGACTGTTTGTGCCTTAAAGCTAAATTTCGAACTCCAACAATGCCACCTTGTAAATTCACCATAAACAAGAAAGAACAGTAGGACAGCTACTTTTATAGGCATAGGAATTCCATTGTGCCAGTAATAGGTTACACACGAAAATAAAATAAAAACTAATAAACATTGGTCTTGAAAGTTCGACGCGAACGTGCCCTTTTTGATGCTCACTTGTTAAAATATCGATTTGTTGCTTTCCTATTATATTTTTTCTTTGTTCATTATTTTTTTTAAAAAAGATTATTAGTAATTTGTTATTACACAAATTACTAATACCCCCGTTAGCCCCTCGTACTAAGCCAAATATGCTTGTGTCACGAGTGAGCTCACCACAATAGTCGAGCGGCGGCTCGACTATTTTTACAAGCTTTTTATTACTTTTTTATTATTTGTTTTTGTACTTACGTTTTGTATTGGTACTTCATTTGTTTTTTGCTGTACGTAATGGTAAAAATTATTTCAGGGGCTAGTTTCTGCGCTTGAATCAGGCCTACTGTTTTCCATTATAATGTGCCTTGCATGTTTACATGAACATTTCAGGGTATTTCACCGCCAACGGTAGATTTAATCAAAACCATTTTACACTTCAGCGTGGCCTTTATAATTTATAGCCGTCATTTCCTAGAAATTTTGGCGTTGGGTAAATGTTAGTGTTTACTTTAATGTTGGGCTTCGTACTAAAATCATAATGATATAGGTACGTACGTATATCAGTTTCATCTATAATGAAAGTGCACGTTTAATTATGAGTTTGGATTAGAATATGGAAAGTATTGGTTGATTCAGATAGCTATATTTAATTTATGCATGTAGCTTGTATGCTGTGTACTAGAATTTTTACCAAAAGTAACATGGCATGTGGGAAAAATTAGTTGAACAAATTGACAAGTGTTTTGTAGGATATGTTTATCCTATTTAAAGTAAACTCCAAAGGAAGCTATTGCAGTCGTCCTCGGCAGAAGAATGCATAATGTACATGCCCACAAAAATAATGTATTAATATCTAAGTACTCACGTCTATCAATAAAGCTATACGTCCCCACGAAGCCAGTGGCGTTGTTCTGCTTGGGCCCCGTGTGGAACTCTAAGACCAGGGCCGGCCCGGGGGAGTACAGGGCCGGCGGCGCGTCGGCCCGGCCCCCGCAGAGCTCGCGGGCCCACGCTGAGCGCTCGCTGACGGCCCCAGGGGGCCCGGGGCCCTGCACCTCCCAGTACACCTTGAGGTAGTCTCCGCGGACGCAGCTGAAACAATTGAAAAGGAGGTTAGTTGTGGTAAAATTTTAAATCAGGCGAAAGCACTTTGAATGATTTTTTGCAATCAAAAGTGGTTTTGACTAACGCCCTTGGTCAAAACCAAGAGCATCAGTTAAAACCACTTTTGACTGATTTTAGCAGTAAAAAGTGGTTTTTACCGACTACGAGGTTTGACTGTAACATAGATATGGGGTAAAGTAGATACAGATCTGCCAGATCAGATCTGCACAGTAATAGCAGTTTACTCCTACTTTCAAGAGACTCTGGAACTCTAAAAAGTGTTGGGAAAGACACCAAGAGGCCAGAAAGTTCTCTTCACATTTTTATGCTTAGGTTATTTAAGGTTCTCAATGATAGAGAGTTATTGATAGATGTATCTAATTTCTTCATACAGAACTGAAGTGTAACTTATAAGTAGTATCAATGAGTCTCCCCAAAAAGATTTACTAGAAAATAACATGAACTTCGTGATATTTTCGTCGTAGGTTGCACTATCTATGTAGTATGTATAAGATTCGTCCTTGGAAAGTCAACAACGAGATAAAACATAAAACAAAGGTACAGAGGAAGGCAGCGGGGTGCCTGTTTTATACACGGCTGACGTTGAAAAAGGTTCATATCATACCCTTTCTTAGCATTTTCAGAATCATGTGCTCACCGGAGAGAAAATTATACTTAGATTTATAATTCACTCGGTACAAAGGTACCCAATAAAATGTTTATTGAACCTTTAAATATCTCAAGAGAAACACGATCTTCATTTAATTAGCACTGAAAATATCAAGTAGTTATAAGAACGACACTCATTAAATTCGCCTATATTAATTTGGACCATCTAAGCGTCTTGAATAACAACTGTGATTGAAACTTTTGTAAGTCTACGACCTTTTCAAAACGTCAACAGACTGAAAATTAAAATATGTGTCCAATAATGAGTCTGTGAAAGTTCACCTTGCTTTAATATAAAGATGACTCTATTTTTGATAAGACAGAATAGAATTGCATACGAAAATTTCTTGAATAAAATTTATGTCTTTGGCTGGGTTGCACCATCTTACTTTAACTTTGACAAACGTCAAAAATCTGTCAAATTCCATACAAAAAACACCGGTTATCGTCGTATTTACGGTCAAAGTTAGGTGATGCAACTCAGCCTTTGTGTTTTTACAATTGTTAGGTAACAACTATGTACGGGATTTCTTCCATGTTACTTTTTATACGCCATAACACAAGTCACAGTTTTATACGCCATAATCACGGATTAAATATAAGGAAATGGTTATTAGATTAGTAGACAAATAAGGGTTCCTTGTCAGGACTACGGAACCCTATAATTATAACCCTATAATTATATTACGATAATTCATTAGTAATATTTTAGATATTGTGGTGGTTCAAACAATACGACACACACGATAAATGACCATTTGTTATGCCATTGGGAAGATAAAAAATTACATTATTCGATTGAGGTTACCAATGTTCACCACAGGTCCATTGATGTATGAAAAACTCTTCTTTAGGCTCTAATAATATTCGAAGCAAACTAAAAATCTATTTCGTTATTGAATTTCAGGGCTCAACTCACAATTTCCCGGGATTCCCACAGCCTTCAAGGACAATATTTTAAAATGAACAGGCATTAACGTCACTATCGGATGGTTTATTGAGAATCGCTCGCTGAGGCAGGGTTTAGTGTCTTCGTTTATGAAATAACGTCACTAAGACCTTAATGCACTTTGATATTTTGAAAATTGAAACAACAATGAGAGCACTTTTAAAATTGTAAAGTTATAAAATGCACACTGAAGTTAGAAGCTTATTTAGAACTTTTAATTAGCCGATAAAAGTGGTCATAATAATCTGTCACCTGAGAATTATCTTTTTTGACTGCGGAGAAGTAGTCGTAGAGATATCAGTTATAATGAAACAAGTAAAACTTGTTTTTTAAGGCTCAGCGAGCAAATAATGTTTGAATCTATAAATGGGATTTAATATTTCGTACTCTAGCTAAACAGATATTGATTTCCCAATTAGTTTTCATTATTCAAGAATTAAATAGTTCTGTGTATAATTTTGTTTTGATGTATTCAAACGCTTTGAAACTTGATCAAACTCATTTCAAGTCGGCTCATTCATAAAACTCATTTATAATGTTGAAATTACAACCATTTCTGAATTTGTTTAGCTCTGAAGACTATTAAAAATATTTTTGCTAAATTCATCAATGTCAAACGTAAATCAGTTTTCGTGAAATATTTTAATTTTAAGCGCCAGAGATGTATTACTTTCTGTACAGTTACAATAGTCTATTGAAAATTAAATTGCGATAACCATCGATAATTCATATAGACTAAGAGCTAGAGAACGCCAGACCTACGTGATTTTATAAAAGCTGTAAGTTTGTCAGCGTATGCTCCCAATATAGGATCTCTATAGGATCAATATAGGAAAATCTGATTTTTATATATAATATTTGGGCAACAATTAGAAGTAGTTTCCCCAACAGCCAGTCAGTTTTGACAGTTCCAACTCCTTGCCAGACAGTTTTTTAGGGTAGCTGCCAAAGTCACGATGACCCAAACTTCATAATTCACCAACATTATATCCTATATTGGGAGCATACGCTGACAAACTTTCGCTTTTATAAAATGACATAGGTCTGGCGTTCACTAGCTCTTAGTCTAATATGCATACTGAATACAGAATGTGCAAATGTATTTTATGCATGTGGCTAAAATTACCGGTGGTTGTAATATTTCAAGGCTGAAAAATGATGACAATTTACGATTCTGTATGCAAATCCGACTCGACTGCGTAAACCGACCGTTTATAATTTTCAATATTCATCCTATATACTATTTATTCTTCTATCAATTAATGTATGTTTACAAACATGAATAAAACATAATTATTTTGGTGACTGTTTTCAGAAGAATGATATTTCAGCCTTGTTACAAAATTTGCTAAAAGCTCTAAAGACGAGACTTAGCTTGGAGATGGAGGTTTATGTACCTAAGCTTAAACAAAGTGGCAAATCAGCGCTCAAATAAACTTTCTGACTTTTACCAGTTTATTATGCTTTTAAATTTTTAACGAGGAATCTCTTGATCTGCATTTCACCTGATGTAACGTGATAATCAAACCGAAGGTTTTTAGCTTCACCCAGAATCCTCAACCACAGATTAACTGGCTATCTTACCTGTAACTGTGGAATAAAATAATGCTGTTAACAATGTTATTATGGCGACAGACTGAGGTAACATGGTGGCAGCTAGGCAGGCGGATTTAAAACAAGCCCTACCACCAACCAAATCGAAAAAGAAAAACCTACCCTGGGACTTTGGTGATTAATCATAAGCGCCATAATATTAGATTAGATCGTTCCTACCACCTTAATACTGAAAAATAAGCACCTTCACTTAACTCACACCATCAAACAATAATTAATCAATCACGGTCCGATAAATCAATAACTAGAACAACCGAAAATAAAGTTCGCTTAGTGACGGCCGGGCAATCATAGGGATTATTGAGGCCATTAGCCGCACTACCCGGGTAGTGTCAGAAACACCCACATCTGAGGATTGATGGCGGGTGATATGAGAATGTTCTGTCTGCGATTGTCTTGAGGGGTTAAGGTCGGAAAAAGCGGTGTTGAACGGTTCATACCTCAAGGAGTATATTTTGCTTCTGAAAGTATGAATAATCAGCAATAGATGACAAACTTAAAGGTTGAGTCAAAAATGATGGGGTAGAGTCATGAAAAGTTCTTGTGAAAAAAAACGTAGGTACACTAAATGAACATTTATAAACATCTTTATTTGTTTTATTTTTAGGGATTACAAACTCTGTATTACAGAAATTGACTTATAAGATAGACTTATGTGTATACGTGATTACGCATCTAATGCAAAAAATTCAAGGAAAAAATGTCCACTACTGAAAATTCATAGACACCCTTATTGATATTCAGTGCGAAAGATTTATAGAGACCTACATCTAATCATTTGAACGTATATGAAAAAAGGTCTATCACAACTGGAATATAGTTGAGGATTGTTATTAAGAAAACTAACAAACTATGGTACACCAAGACATACCAAGATAATTTCTGAAGACTATAAGTAGGTACTAACTGGTAGTTATAAATGGTGCTATTTTATTTTGCAACAAATTGCCAGTTGGTTTGGAAAATTATTACCTAAAAGTACCAGTTGGTTTGGAAAATTATTACCTAAAAGTACCAGTTGATTTGGAAAATTATTACCTACAAGTACCTAATCTAAAAGATTATAATATTTTCGTGTACTGTTTACAGGCTCATAATATTTAGCTTAATTTTCACTTACAAAGGAACATGTTATTAATATCTGTTGTAGCAAGCATAGTTTATAAAGCAATTAGTATCCATATTTCCGCACTTTGCATGCGCTAATTTGTTATTAAAAACATCAGAAACTCATTTTCTGTTTTGCGTTATATAATGGAAATTTCTAATTAATTAATAATGTATGAGCTAACCGAAATGATTGACGTAAACTCGATGGTCATAAAATAACTAAGTGTACCGTTGTATTTTTCCGACATAGGCCGGCTTATATTTTTGTGTCCATTTAGTTAAATCCTAAAACAAAAATGGTTTCCATTGTAGCGTCCACTTACCAAAGCTGTTAACTAAAAGCTTTGTTCAAATAAAGTGCGCCACAAAATCGGTTGAAAGGCAAAAAATAAAGAGACAACCTCTTCTCCCAGCCTCTCGAGTTAGTACAATCTTATCGACGATCGTAATGCCGGTGACAGCCCATTTTTTAAGAGCACCCCTACCTAAGAGCCAAAGCACATGATGCGTTTTGCCGCGCACCGCAAAGATTCTGCCGTATCGTGTGACGCGGCGCCGCACCGTTCGTGTATTCGCCACAGATATTTCTATCTAAGACGACGCAGCGGTGTCGCATCGCCGCGCCGTCGCAAGGGATCGTGTGCCT